CGACGGGAAGAAAGATCGATAGGTGATCAGTCTATCGATCGGCAGCCGCAAGTCAGATAACTTCAGAGGCACTCGGCAGCGTGCTCAAATCTCTTTGACTTGGGCGGAAGTCACGCGGAATTTTAAGCGGCCAGCAAGCCAATTACTAGCCGCCACGTATGAATAATTTAGCACTGGCCAATAGCGGGGCACAAATTTACATTCGAATAGTGGGAACTCTTTGCACCGTGCATTTCTGTGCTGCAAAGAAGAAATGCATCCTGCAAAGGAAACTGCAAATTGGCGGGAACTCTCTCCTACACGCGGGTTCTCAATTGCAGCAGAACACTCTGCCGTGCAAAAGAGCTCTCATGTGGCCAGGAAATTCCATAGTGCCGAGGCTCCAAAATCACTGGGTCGTGACAAATGGCAGTGGAAGTTGCATATACTTGCGAAGAGCACAGAAAACAACTCGTTTCAATTTTCTAGGTTAAACTCAGCTAAAGAGATTTTAAAATATCACCAACATTTTTTGCCAACAGAGAGACCTCCCAGATCAGATTTTAGTTAGGTAATGATCTTTGTTGGTTTTTATACTCTGAGAAACATTGCAGCCTCTGTAATTGTAAAATCACTGAGCACTTTATACAGAAAACAGTGATTTCCAACAACAGCTCGGGCCCCTACCTGCCATATGTACCTTTGAAAATCTGTTACTTGTATGTTACATAGAAACACAATACATAGTGGAAACTTTCTGGTGCACCTTCAATATAAAAAAACCCCATTAATATATAAGCAACCAGATGTTTGGCAGATGTATTACTTTATCCTCAGTTTAGCATTATGAACATGTATTTAGTTTTGATGATAACCGTCTTATTAAAAAACTGGCACCAAGTCCCATTACTTTCCATTAAAAACCTGGGTCTACAATTGTTGCAGAACTGGAAGCATTTCAGCCAGTTAACTTATACACTCGATCAGCTCCCCGATTACTTTTGGTTCTCACATTCAGCTTATAATTACATTGGTCCAAAATTTTTTTACTGCTATCGCAACTACCTATTTTTATATTTCAGCCTCAATACAACAAACCTGTTTTTTCCTTATTTCTTTTATTGAACTTCATGCATGTGATAGCACGTTGTATAGAGCCAGCTTTTATTCCCTCCCCAGTATTTTTTCCCTATAATCTTATGTGCCTCAATCCCACTAGGAGCAATCTACATGGTTCTGAGATTCAAAAGCAGATAGGAAATTGAGCCAGATATTTTTGATAAACTAATCAGCATACAGAAAGTTAATAATGAGATTTAAATTACTGCCCTTAGGGCTCAAAAGTTAATACGCCAGAGGTGAATGGACAACGTACACTATTCAGAGCTCCTTTTTTGGCTCCCTTAAGACTGACAAAAACACTGCATCATTTTAAATGTTGCAAAGAAAATCTTGAAAATGGGAACATACGAGAGATAGAAACACTTTGAAATGAGTGCATCTGCAGCTGTAAGTGGATCCCAAAATTCTGCAATGCATAGAATTGGCTCAAATTACAGCCTGACTGGTGAGTGCACTCAGAACAGATTGTATTTCTAGGCTCAAAAAAAATTAATTTTAGCTTTCTACAAAATTGTTGTGTTGATGCTGTGGGGCTTTTTTGTATTTAAAAAGAATATTATTATTTGAAATAACTTTCAACTATGTTATTAATAATGCTTTGCAAATTGAGTGTTTAGGCTGCAAATACTCACACATGCAAATACTCAGTGAGACAGGTACGTTTGTAGGAGGAGCTCTTAAAGTTCATATTTTACAATCACATATTCTTCCCTTAACGTAAACTTTTTGCCTGAATCTATGAAAGTGCACAGGGAAATAAAATAATTAACATGCTACAAAAACCCTGTGTTAACATGGTGACATATTTTTGTAATACTCTGCAAGGCTATATGCATTTTTTTAATCAGGGATAAGAATAGTAACTATACTGGAATTGGTACTATTCAATAAACAATGTAAATGTCAGTTAAACACTAGCAGCCCACAGAACCAAAGTTTTAAAAAGGGACATATTCCCAAATATGATATTCTGACTGTATTCCATACAAGTCTCAGAGAAAAGTAAGGGTGGAAGGTACTTTAGAAAGTCATCTGGTCAAACCACCTACCCAAGACAGGATCATCCTGTGTCTAAACCGTTCCAGATGAGCATTTGTTAAAAACTCCTAAGGATGGGGATTACGCAGCCTCTCAAGGTAATCTGTTCCAATGCTTAATCACTCTCATAGTTAGAAAGTTCTAATATCCAACCTAAATTTCCCTTGTTGCAATTTCAGGCCCCTGGCACAGAATCATTTAACGGTGCGATGAGATCTGATCCCCAATCCCAACAACCATGCCCCCTGCCATATTACAAGTGCATAGCAGGAAGTGTGATTGTTGAGATCAGATCCCAGTAGCGAAATTACCACTTTCCAGTACTAGAGGAGCCTGGGATAATGATCCTGGGTCTCCCCCTGCACTGGCAAGTTGAAAGCCAGATGCCTATAATTTGGTATGAATCAGCTTGGTTTCAGGGCTGAGACTATCAGATGATTGTTAGTTTCAGCCCTAGGACTGCATGGGGGCCATCCCAAATCCCCATGCACTGGGATGTCAGAAAACTTCATGTGGAACTCAGCTGACACACGATTTAAGGTCCTAGTGTGCTGAGGTCTGGGGATCCAGGAGAGACTGCCTGATCCAGGGATTCTCATGCTGGTGATGTCAGAAAGCCATGTGTGCAGCCCAGCTGGCTCCCAACAACCCAAGACCCTGGACCAGATGATGACAGATCAAGTTGCATGATGGCGCTACCCCAGCACACATTCAATTTAAGGTGCTATGGAAAGCAGCCACAAAGTAACCACCCGTCAGGTATTTGAAGGCTAAAACCACTCTCAGCCTTCTCTTCTACAGACTAAATAATCCTGGTTTATTAATATTTTCTCAAAAGTTGTGTTTCCTAGATCTTTAATCATTTTTGTTGCTTTCCACAAGACATTCTAATTCAGGAATGTCAAACTCATCCTTGGCCAGATCCAGACCACAGGGGTTCCTCCTAGACCAGATCCATGGAGCCATCAGCAACTGAGGTAGGTCTAGATCTGGGGCCAGCGGCACAAGTTTGAGGGGGAGCGGTATTGCAGGCTGGGCAGTGAAAGTCCAGGAACAAGCTGTAGCATATACTGGGGAGCGGGCAGCAGTGGGGCAAGCAAGGACTCTATTTGTACAGTCCTCATTTCTCCTTCCCCTCTGGCTACTGATAGCAATTCTATCAGCGTCCAGAGTCCCCAAATTTTGTGGCAGGCCACGTTCCACTGGTCATGCCTCCCAACTTCTGGTGGCCAGTTGTCTATTGGTGGGCCAGATGGAATGGTTCTGCAGGCCAAATTTCTTTAACACCATTGCTCTAATTTGTCTATGATATTCCATCTTTATTTTCTGATTTCTCTCAAGTTTTATTTAATTCTGCAATCATCTGCTACCTTGTAAAACCACATCCAGAGCTACCCTATCCTTTATTTGGATTACCTAATTTTCACTCTCTTGTTCTACAATCTAGATTTGACCAGTTGACTTACCTCAACCGAAGTGTCTACAGAGGAGTTGCCAAATGCTTCGTGTCATTCAGATCATTATAATGCAGAAAAAAGGAAAATATGCAACATCAAGTCTCCTCTACAAGCTGCAGGATCCCTGGGAAGACAGTACTAAGCAGGTCTCATCAATAAAAATCAGAGTCTTAGCCCAGCATTCTCATATTAGTAGCAAATTCTTCATGGGATGAGCCCAGGACAGGTCTTTGTCTCTGGAAATTATATTATGATCTCATACTTCTAATGTGGGAAAGGTAGCACCAAATCCCACACTTCTCTTAAGGAAAGACATTTACCATTCTTGTACATGAACATGTTCTGCAATGTATCCATAGCCATAAAGAAAAAAAGTACTATACTAAAAAGACCTCTGCGATGTTTATTTGTGGTCAACGAAAGCATTTAAGGGGAATTTTCCTTGCAAATATACAATGTAATGAGAAAAACGTAAGGAGAAATTGGCAATTTTAAAAGGGAATTACATTTCCTGGCCTAAACAAGTCAATAGTGTTCTTTTAAATATCATTAAGTTCAGCAAAACCTACTGGATGAAATGTACACAAGGTTAAATTGTTCTCATTAGATAAATAAAATTATAAGAACATTCCTTTTTACTTTGAGTTCCCTGAAAGCCATAACACGACGTTTTCAGAAAGGGTAGCATAATTCTACATTTCAAAAGATAAGTCACTCCGTACAGCCATTATTGTGGAGTGAATGGCAAACTGAATTCTTATGGGAATAAGACATTAAGTTTAAGCTTAAATCCCATCAGTAAAATCCATCTGTCTAGAATGGGAAACAAACTCAAACCTCAGTTTTTGAAAAAGAAACTACATTTTTGTTTAAGTTTAATGACCAGCCTCCCAAAAGAGAAGTACAATGTGGAAATCTACATACATTTAAGTATCCAACCATGGTCCGTTGTATTCCAGTACTGCTGTTCAGAAGGAAGTAAACTGTATAAATATCTACAATATTAAATAAAGATGCCCAAACCAAGCCAAAAATATGGAAGTTCAGCACTTAAAATAAAGTAGAAATATTTAAATTTGTGCTAATCCAGGCAGCAGAACTGAGATGAAAATTAATAATAATTTGAAGACAGAACATTATTAAACCATTTCTGCCTTGGGCGAAAGGAAATACCTTCACATGATGGTTTAAGATGATAATGTATTAGACCAGGAAAAGTAGGAACTGTCTTCTTATCTAGTCATTCAAATGTTGGGCAGTTATACCAAATCTAACCAATACTGATCAGTATTTTTTGGAGTCTGGATTAGTAAAAGCTTTTTTAAAAAACAAATCATTATAAGGAAAAGTTATCTGATAAGACTTTCTATAAATTCTTTGGCGCCATACGTTCTCTTAGGAAGGTAAATTTTAAACAGAAGCTAATGCTGCAAGTACCTTAATAACTGGTACATATATACAAATAATACAGGAGCAGAGTGCAAACATGATGAAATACAGTTACTTGAAGGAATAAAGTTAGTCAGATACCATTCGATTTTTATGTCACCACCAGAGAACTGTAAATAAGCTTCAGTTGAGAATGTTTTAGATTTACAAATCCCCTAGCACAGCCTAGCAGCACATTTTGGCCCTCTAAAATTATAATTCAAACTAAACTGTAATTTCATATAACAATGTTACCACTTTTGATTATTATTTATCACCTGCAGTCCTATTTTAAGAAGAGTGATCAAAGTTCAAAACTGTTCTTACAAAGAACAGAACAGTGCTGGTTGTATCCCCATACGGACTTTTAATGATTTTAGGTTTTTTGCATTTCGTGAAGGTCTTTCAGATGCAAACAGAAAGGCAATGATCCGTATCAGTTTTTCAGAAAATGTTCATGGGTTATAGTGATTTCAGGAAATTGGTTAATTTTCTTCTTGCAGCATTTCCTCTATTTCTTTATCCCAGTTGTCATCACGTTTTTCTGATTCTGTTACTACTTCAAACTCTTGAAGCTCTTGCTGTAGCTCCTTTTCCCAATCTGCAGTCTCTTCTACAAGGAAAAGCAGCCATAAATAAATTAGTTTATAGCTAGCTAAATCTGCATTGAGGCTACTTCGCTTGGGCAGCTTTAGATTAGAGACCTAGAAATGCAAAGCTCATAACTTTCACCTAAAACAGGTCCAAAAAGATCAAAAGCTAAGAATTGGAGCGGGACTCCTTCACACTAGAATATGCTACAGCAAAATAAAGATTTAAGGTATTCATTACATTTGATCTATTCTCCAGCTCAGCACAACACAAAAATGTTTTGCTCCAACAGACAAGATCATTTTTCAAACTGCTGTAGTAGCACAGTGGAAAGAAGTTGCTGTCAACCTTCTAGCTTTCTTCACAAACAAAGAAAAAGAAGCTATGCTGCACTGAAACTACACATTATTGTCAACTCAAGTATTATGAATGAATAAAGATAAGTTTGTGGAGTCCACTAGCTCTCAAAAAGTCAAACAAAACCACTGGCAATTTTTAAAATGTAATGGACAATTTTTCCTATTACAATTTGTAGCTAGGAAAGCTCATATAATCATGGGATAAAGGCTGGCAATTTCATGCTTTAGGGCAAAAGGTGATCCAAAAGCCATTACTGTCCTTCTACCCTTTTTTGATGGTGACTAGGTCCAAGACAGAGAGAACTAGGGAGAAACTGGCTTTTGAAATGTTCGGTATTGCTGCCTCTGAATGTTACAAGTCCAAGTTTAAATGATTTGGTTATTTCAAACCTAGCAAATGCTAGAAACTAGAATATTCCATCTTTTGGAACCTAGTAACACTCTATCATAATTTTAATACATAGGATAAGCATAATAAAACGTTTGAGAAATATTTATTTTATTAGCATTAATTTTTGTTTTACCTTCAGCTGTGGAAGTCTTCTCTTCCTTGTTGTCAAGCACCAGTTGTTCCATTCCCTTCCTTAGGTCCTCCTGATTCAGGTTACAGGCATCAAAAGCATCACTCACAAATTCTGACACGCCTGGACTGGTGGAAATCTCCTCCTCATCCTGGGATGATTGATTTGTGGAAGATAAGGAAGGAAAGATATTTGCCAAAAGTACTCACTGGTCGGAATCTCTCTTCCATAACTTGAACTAGTCACCAAATTACAAATAAAACAACTGCTGATTCTGTCAATTACTACACATCCAAGACTGTTCTTTCTAATGCAGTGGTTAGCAACTTTAAGGCTGTGGGACTGACCTAGTTCAAGTCAAAAGCCACTGGTGTGGAAAGTGTCCAACGCCAGTGATATTCCCCGCAGTAGCATAGGAAAGCAACTGCTGCCAAAGCCTGGAGTCTGCAGGCCAGATCAAATAGCTCCACAGGCCAGAGGTTGCTGACCCCTGCTCCAACAGATTTTTGTTTTTTAATGGAAAAGATATTTGTTATGAGTTTGAAAAATGACTACTTTCATATGATTTTTCATTAGTTTTCCACTGAAAATTGTATTTCAGTTTAACACTTATTTAAAAAGGATAACAAATTTTAAAATAATTCAGCAGTAGCAAAAATATTTATATTAATCGATCAGACAGTTAAAAAGAAAAACAAACTGCAAGAGAAAGAGTTATAGTAGGATTCCTCTTTGGAAATCTTTCTTGTTAAATTTAGCAGGAAAGAGACGGAGGAGAGTGAACTTCTGGGCTATTTATTTTTATACAAAGATTTACAACCTTCAGAAACACTGATCTGTATTTTAAATAAATATTACCATTGCCATATTAAATATTATTGCCACCAGACATATTTATGGCTTCATCACTGTCTAAGATTTCTCTGGCATCAATAACGTAATCTGTAAATAAATGTCCTTAGCTCTCCCCAAAATTATGATTTCTGCAGTGCCAAGCAAAGTTGTCATTGTCATAATAAAGTGTCACTATGACAACACAGTTTATATGGCCCACATATAATATAATAGCTTTAAATTATTGCCCCCAGACATATTTATGGCTTCATCACTGTCTAAGATTTCTCTGGCATCAATAACGTAATCTGTAAATAAATGTCCTTAGCTCTCCCCAAAATTATGATTTCTGCAGTGCCAAGCAAAGTTGTCATTGTCATAATAAAGTGTCACTATGACAACACAGTTTATATGGCCCACATATAATATAATAGCTTTAATATAAATTTCCAGAAGTATCATTGCTGTATATGTAAATATTTTATGAGGCAACCCTACTGTCTCCAAATATGACAAACACATAAAAACTCCCTCAAAGCTTATGTGATTATGTCTTAAATGAAAATTTGATGCACTACACATCAGATAAAACAATAGTATTTTCACCTCTTGTGATTTCAGTTGAGATTTGATAGTAATAGGTGGCGTTTTGGGCCGAACTGTTTCTAGAAAGAGAGAAAAAAGCATTAATTTGATTAAAGGAAATACCATTTCTTACTTCAGGAAATACACATATTGAAAGGTCAAGTTCAGGTATGGAGGGAATATTGACATTAAAAATAAGGATGTGAATTGAACACAGAACTATTCTTTTCCATGGTGTTCCTATTTTTAAAATGAAATTCAAGATGAAAAACTTCAGGCATCTATACCCTCAACGTTTCCATAGCATGAAATCCTAAGTCAAACTGGAGAACAAACAAAATAAACAAAGATCCAGATAAGGTCCAGTATATGAATGAGTCTTCAGAGCTGGTAGACTCCCTTAAAGGACCAATCTAGAATCCAAGATCTGAAGTTTTACTGCTTGAGAGGATCCTAGGACTCTAGAAATCAGACTCAGCCAAGAACCCTGGGTCAACCCTGGAGAGGCTTATCAATATAAGGGAACAAATCAAGGAAGAATATCTTGGACCACAGTCATAGATTCATAGATGCTAGGGTCAGAAGGGACCTCATAGATGATTCCTTGGATGCATTGTGTTAACAGGCTCTATCAATTGAAATCAGTTCCAATATGTCAAGTAAAGGTGGAGACTGGCTCCTACAACCCAGTACCTTCCTGGGACATCACCACCATAAAAGAAAATGCTTTCAAACTCATACATCTTGTTACAAGACCTCATGCCCAGAAATTACTCAATTATTTTGCTGTGCAGGTTCTCTTGATTCATCTTTGTTAGGAAAAAAAAACAAACCAGTTTTCACTGAAAAACTGAAATTGAGAAATTCTTTGATTCTCTACAAGTAAAACAATTTGGAACCATTGCAGCTCCCAAGAAAGAGAAAGATGGAAACAAAACTAGAGGAAATGAACTGACAGAGTTGACTTGGGGGAGAAATTGTTTGCTGGGTTATATCAGGAAGGAACACCCTCTGGAACCGGATGACTAGTTTGGCATCAAATGGAAAACACTTTGCAGTCTACAGAATGATGCCTAACTCCTGAAAGTCCCGCTAGAAGGCCCCTTTATTTAACACTTGCTGAAAGAACTTTGACCAACAGATGACAGAACAGAGGATACATTTTCATCTCTAGGGGCAGTGTTAAGATCTGTTCATAGAAATTTGAGATTTTAGCAAAGTGCAGTGTACCTTGCCTTCCACAAACTTCTGAATAAAGGATTCTCTATCAAATAATAGTCCTTTAAGTAGCAGACTACTAAACACCCTAGCAGCCAGAATTACCTGCGAAAAGCATAGTGAGGAGAGGCAGCAGAAGTCTGAGACTGGTGAGCTCCTCAGAAAATAATGTTACATTGGTTGTTATATATTATTTCATTTGCAACAGCACTCGGACTCCAGCCAAAATTGGGATCTTCAATGTGTTAGTTACTATAAAAGCCTAAGCTGACAGATCGTAAACTCTTGGGTGGCATCTAAGATGCTTAAATTTAACTTGGCAAAAGAAAGTCTTTGTTTAATGTCAGAATTCTCTCTTTTCAAGGCCCAATCACACAGCTATGTTAGTAGCAACTGTTCATTTCTTGAAACTGGCTTACTGAAGCAGTAGGGGGTAGAAACTGAAAAAAAAATTTGTTATGTTTTCAACCTTTTTTACAAGAGAGGTGAAACCCAACAACCAGGACCCTAAGACAGACACAAAAAACCCCCTCTCTCTCAAAGGTTATATTTGGCTACGCTAAGGGGGAAGATCTCTAAACTTTGTATAATTTAAACAATTAAAAAAGCAGTAGTAGTATTATAGTATCAGCTACGACATCCCAACCAAGATTTCTGTCCCCTTTCCACACACAGTGGTAGGCATTGTTAAACAGAGCGAAAGAATCTCTGCCCTTTAGTGCTTACAAAATTATTTAAGACAAAACATAGCAGACAGATGTGATGAACTAATCAGAAGGAAAAAAGATAAATAAGACCAAGGGAACAGCGGTGAGAATCTGTATTTACAGAGGCCACATAGGTGCAAAGCTAGATGTTCCTAAGATGGTGACCTATCTTTAAGTAAAACTATAAACTAAAACAAACACTCATACAACAACCTTCCTCCCCCCACCAAAAAATACAACCCAGTGAAAACTGGAAGTCTCTATCAGATTGTCTTTCTGGTTGTTATCAGTTGACATTTTTCCAGAGTAGAATGGGATCCTGAGGAAGGATGAGGGAAACAGTGGCTTAATCAACCAATTCAAGGGGGTACTTTATACACAGGGGGTTATGTAGAATAAAGCACAAAGGTGCCTGTAAGAAAAACACAGATGGAAAATGGAGGTAGTCCTCTTGGTGGAATGGAGAAACAATGTGATGAGACACAAGAATGGAAGACAAGGAATATGGTAGGCTAGAGTAGGTAAAGCAGGGTCGGGCAATTATTTTGGGCAGACGGCCACTTACTGAGTTTAGGCAAGCCATTGAGGGCTGCATGAGAGGCAGCCCAGGGCAGATTAATATTAATTTTCTAAATTTTTTAGGGGACCCGCAGGCCGAACAGAATGGCCTGGTGGGCTGCATCTGGCCCCTGGGCCACATTTTGCCCACCCCGATATAAAGTGTGTTAAAAAGATAAAGATGAAAACAATTTGATACAGCTGTGAAAGTTACCGAATGACATTCAAAATGATGGAACAAGACAATGATCTTAGTAACTACATTTGAAGGGAGCCAAAATGGGAAAGGCCCTAGAGAACAGTTTTAGTGCAACAGAAGAAAAGGAATATTAATGTAAATAGCAACAGCAACAGTAATACTGTTACTCCAGTTACAAATCTGATAAGCTGGAGAGTGACATTATCAATAATGGAGAAAAATAGAACAAAGAAAGAAAAGAGCAGGGAGTCACAATTTGGACCAAATTAAATTTAAATTGATGGCACAATGTCCAGGAAGAGAGGTCAGATTCACATGGAGATACAGAATTAAGCAATGTTGGAGAGCAGATTTATGAGTCATTAGCAAAAAAAGTGGTGGCTGCAGCCACTGAGCAGATGAGAGTGAGTGTAGATAGGCAACAGGAGGCAGCAAAGGACTGAGATTTCTGACATGGCAGAAAGAGTAGAAGAGAACAGAATGCACTGCTGAAACAGAAAAGGCAGTTCACAAAGCAGGGGGAACAGAGTTCTGAAAACCAGAGATGTAGATTCAAGAAAGTAATGATCAATGAATAAAAAACAGTTGAGACCAAAGAGAGTAAGTATGAAAAAGGAGCCCTGAATATTAGTCAAAACTGGTCACTAGTGACTTGGTGAGTGTAGTTCTAAGGTAAACAGAGAGGATGGAAAACAGATCACAAGGAGACTCAAAGATGGAGATGTAAGACAGGAACTTGAGGCAGTGGTTGTAGATGAGTGATTCACACACAACAAGGGTGCCACAAGATTCACAGATGTAGGGTCGGAGGGGACCTGAGCAGATCATCAAGTCCGATCCCCTGCCCTGGGCAGGAATAAATACTGGGCTCATATGACCCCTAGTAAGTTTAAGTTCATATGACCCCAGCTAGGTAGTTATCAAGCCTCTTTTTAAAGACCTCTAAGGTAGGAGCCAGCACCACTTCCCTTGGAAGCTGGTTCCAGATCCTGGCCACCCTGACTGTGAAGTAGTCCCTCCTGATGTCTAGCCTGAACCTACTCTCAATCAACTTGTGGCCATTATTCCTTGTTACTCTGGGCGGCATTCAGGGGAACAGGGTCTCATCCATTCCCCTCTGATCCCCCCCGTAAGTTTATAGACAGCCACCAGGTCCCCTCTCAGCCTTTTCTTGTGAAGGCTGAACAGGTTCAGGTCCTGTAGACTCTCCTCATAGGGCCTGCCCTGCTGCCCCCTGATCATGCAAGTGGCCCTCCTCTGGACCCTCTCGATGCTGGCCACATCCCCCCTGAAGTGCGGCGCCCAGAACTGGATGCAGTACTCCAACTGTGGCCTGACCAGTGCCGCAAAGAGGGGGAGGATCACCTCCTTGGACCTGCTCGTGATGCATCTATGGATGCATGACAAGGTGCGGTTAGTTTTGCTGACCGTGTCCTCACACTGGTGGCCCATGTTCATTTTAGAATTGATAATGATTCCAAGATCTCTTTCTGCCACTGTGCTTTCAAGAAGGGAGTTCCTCAGCCTATAGGTATGCTGCTGGTTCTTCCTGCCTAAGTGCAGTATCCTGCACTTGTCAGTATTGAATCCCATCCGATTCACATTCGCCCACCCCTGTAACCTGTCCAGGTCCAGTTGTATCCTGTCCCTCCCTTCTAGCGTGCCCACCTCGCCCCAAATCTTGGTGTCGTCAGCGAATTTGAACAGGGTGCTTTTCACCCCCTTGTCCAAGTCTTTGATAAAGAAATTGAACAGTACGGGGCTGAGGACCGAGCCCTGGGGGATTCCACTGCCCACATCCCTCCAGGTTGAACATGACCTGTCCACCACCACTCTCTGGGTGCGGCCCCCTAGCCAATTTGCGACCCATCTGACTGTGTAGGCATCAATGCCAGAGTCACCTAGCTTTTTAATGAGAATGGGGTGGGAGACAGTGTCAAAGGCCTTGCTGAAGTCCAGAAAGACTACATCCACCACGACACCTGCGTCCAATGCTTTTGTGACCTGATCACAGAAGGCTATCAGGTTGGTCTGACAGGACCTGCCCTTAATGAACCCATGCTGGTTGCCCTTGAGCATCCTCCCCCCTGCTGGTCCCTCCCAGATGTGCTCCTGGATAATTTTTTCAAAGAGCTTCCCCGGGACTGAAGTAAGACTATTCTTCTAAGGGTGCTGCAGGGTTCTGCACAAAAAACCACACTGTTAGATGTGCAAGCACCTACACATGGTTCACAAGGTAAACCTTGAAATTTCAAATAGGAATCCACAGTGTCAAAAAAATTCTGACCTGCTGTGGTCTTTCTGAGTTCTCTGTAGCAGAAAAATTGCTCTATTATTTTTCTGTAGTTAAGAAATGAATGAAAGCTATGACTGGTATTTTCTGAGGAGTGCCTTGAGTCTAAAAAGGTTGAGAATTACTGTTTTAGACAGTATGCACAATGAATAGGGAGGCAAATAGGAGAAAGGTAGAGAGAGATTCAGGTGCGCATTAAAGAAACCTGAAGAGGGACCTATTTCAGAAACTATATATTTTTCTTTTTCAAGAAGCTCTCTTTAAATGGTACACGTAAGTTCTCCAATTAAAAAAGGATTTGAGGTAATTTGATGTATACAGATAAATGTGACAAAAAAAAGTTATATTGTTTTCAATAATCCAGTTACTGAGTTGAACAAATACTTTCTGTACCTGTGAGTTGTCCAACCTCTTCTCTGCTGTTGTTCTCTTCCTTTCCTACCGCTTGTTGCTGAGCAGCCAGGGCAGTGAGCTGTGCAGACTGTTTAATTAGGGAGACCCGATAGAAATAGTTTCTCCAAAACACCTCCTCTTTTACACTGTAGAGAAACAAACTAAGTTTTGATACTTTTTTTTTGCAGTTAGCATGAAGATTCACTTTACCAGCTGCTGCTGAAACAGTCAAAGTCAAAACTACAGACGGTTGGGGAAAGAAGCATAAGGCTCTACATTTTCATTTTCTCTATTGCATGGAGTATGTGAAGTACAATCTTAACTATGACTACCTGACAGCACACACAAAACTTAGAAGTATCTACCGTTATAATGATGTTCTTTCCTTAAGTTACTGCTCGATATTCATCACTTAATCTCAGTTTGACATAAATTTCTTTAAGATTAGCTCAATAACATGCAGATATGCATCATTATCTTGGAAGGCTCCCACTGCTCTGTTCTACTTTTCAGCAGACGAAAAACAAATAAAAAAATAAATGTGACCACTGATGTTGGCTCAGCTTCTCTAAGAATTTCGCCCCTTTGTTGTCAGGTAATGACAACTTTGTTTGATTCTGGCAACCGTGGACCTTTATCAGATTTGTGAAAGGCAGCAAATCTAAGATACAGAGAACAGCATTTGCTCACCTCTTCTCTGAACAGGTGCTGCACAAGTAGAAATGTTACTCTCATGGTTTTTCCTGCTTGGTGCTTTTACACGACAAAGTCAAGAATTGTTTTCAGGGTAAACTGCAATATGCAGCATTTCTAAATCATATCAGTTAAATAAAGGTAGTCTTTAGCTAAAGGTCCAGTTCTACATGTATTACTAAAGTTAAAGGGCCTTGTAAAAACAAGATTGCACACAGATGGCTATTTAAGACATGATGCGATTTGAATATGTGCCACTGAGCAAAACATTTTTGTGTAAGATGCTTTAAAAATTGAAACAAAACAAAATCCAGTGGGGAAAAAATATCATGCTGTACAGTCCAGTCCCAAGAACTGAGAAGGTTTGTGTATTGGAGGTGGAGTGAACAGACCCACTTATAATTAAAGTTGTCCAGCTTATCCTCCTTTCAGCCTGTTTGCAGTTGTTTATATTCTATAACACTCTGACTGGTTGGATTCAAATTTCCATGGACTATCTGCTTCATGCTGAACTCTTCTAAATTCCTAGTCTAAATTATTCATCTGCTTTTTAAGAGTGAGGTTAAGGAAGAATACTTTTTGCAATGTCAAAAAATTATTAAAATTGATTTAATGAGTAACTCTGGGGCTCCCCCACCAAGCCATGGGGTAGGACTAGAAATCTGGACAGATGCATGCAGCCTAAATCCACATTTGGCCAAGTTACGCTAAAAAAAAAAAAAAAGACAAATTACATATGCTCAATATGATTGGACTTGAACAGGTTAGAAGGAATCAAGTCTGGGAAGGAACAGGAAGAAAGGCCTGTGCACAGTGAAGTTAATGTCTCCCCGCTCCAAGCTTAGAATGCAACCCAAGATTCTTCAGTCTCACTATTCCCTTGCTGTCAGCAAATATCTGTGCAAGCACCTGAGAAAGCATGCCTTATCTCTGCCCAGTGCTGGTCTACAGTCAGGATAACAACCTACCATTGCTATCAGTTACTCTATTAGCTAGAGACAGAGGTTTTGTGTGGCATATGTAAATCAAAAGTGTTCAAACCTTGCTGAGAAACCCTGTTGGTGCCTGTATTACAATATGTGACAAAATCTGGAGGCAGGGCAGGGTGGAGGAGGGAAAGGGGCAGCTTGCTTTAAAAAAGTAATAATAATAATAATAATAATAATAATAATAGAAAAAACGTAAACACAAAATATCTACGTTAAAAGAGCATTAATGTTGCTAAGCCAAAAATTGAAAAGTTAGGAAGTGCCAGAATTGCGTTTGCCTATACAGCCTTAATTCAGCTCTCTTGCACGTATGCAGTTTGACAGTTTTTATTTACATGACCACTTACTGTTTTTTCCACAGACCTTATTCATTCAGTGCACAGGTGGAATGATGATCTGGGGATGAAGGAGTTATGCAGTGAAGGAGACTGTTGTCTGTAGGATCCCTGCCTCATTTGTTGTAGAAGCTGGAAGATGTGTAATGAACTTGCAGGAAAATGAAGGATGGTTTCATATTTAAGGCAGTTGACTGAGCCATGAGAAAGTGGATTCAGTTCCTTTTTCTGCTAGAGGTCCTGGTCCTATGTGATGTCAGACAAGTCACTCAAGCCAAACTTTTCTTATATAGTTACTACCTGTGTATTCCTTTGCTGAGTGCAACCTTACATTTCTGGCATTTTGTAACTTTTGAGTGCTTGATTTAGCAACATTAATAAATGTGCTTTTAACATTTTGTGTTTAGTTACTTATAAATAATTCAATACAAATTAGGAATGTTACAAAAAACGTATCAGAAGTGTCCACTGTCTATTAATAAGAACTATTCCTATAAACTGAACTTAATTTTATAGAAAAGTAAAAGGTTATTCAAAGTAGCAAATTGATAAGAAGTCATCGTAGAGCTTTGAGGAAATTTAAACTGAAATTTAAACTGAAGAAATCTACTTCATCTATTCAAGCAGCTACCTTAAAAATGGTTATAACAACTTCAGACAAATAGGCATAATTTTTCTGACTCAATTTTTTAAAAAAGGGTTTATAATACAAGAATTTGTTATTTATGATGTGAATAATGCATACTTATACTAAATCCCAAAAGTCTGCATATTCAGGATTAACTGTATATAATCTTAATTTAATGAACATTGCACACGCAGTAGAGAAAAGGAAAAACAGTGGAAGGAGGTGGAGAGGAAAGATGAACAATTTAGAAAAGTTAAATTAAAATAGGCAAATGTGACGTGTTACATAGTTCACAAATATCAGCAGAAATTACTTACTGTTTAGGAACAAGATCAAATCTCATTCTGTTCAGAAGCTCATCTTCTTGCAGCATTACCAAGGCGACAGGATACATCTGATCAAAGTCAAAATTAAACTGAACACCTGCTGGAGGGTCTCGCAGAAAGTTCCGCTTGTCCTTTGAAAAAAACCACAGAGAAGTTTTTAACAGATGAATGGTATCATGTTCAACAAATACTACTACTACATCTCATTCAACATAAATTTGAATGCCAGTGGCATAAAACTGTCCATAAAAGATAAAAACATGTTACAGGATACACTTTTATCTGTTTTTGCTCAGAAACTGCTTTAGGCACTGTGGCAGAAGGCCACCTCTGTTTCTCCCCAAAAACTCTGCACTGTGACAATTTGGCTAGGATGGGACCAGCAGAGGATACACACCTTACCTTATCTCTTTAGGTAACCCGAGCTGGATACATTTCTGAGGGAGGGGGGAAACCTGCTCCCTCTGCCTACATGACTGGCATCACATACCTGGGTGAGGGGCTTGGGCTCCCTGGGGAGCTAGGAACTGCCAGTCTGCCCAGCAACTAGTGATGCATTTCAAATTGGTTGGCTGACAGCCAACAGGTGCTGGCCTCCATTGGACCAGGTAAATGAGATTACAAGGGCTATAAGTTAAGGACTGCCCAGGAGGAGGGGGCAGCAGGCACGAGGAAGACTCAGAGACAGAGAAGAGCTGAACCATCTCCACCTGCCTCTGGATGATACTTGAGTAAGCTACCTGAGATCTAACTAGATATACAGCTTGCAGTAACATGGATGCATGATCAAAGGCTACCCAGACATGGGAGTTTGCTCTATGGGATTTCTCTGATACTGCTCTACCCTGTACCCTATTCCAACCCTACCCCTTGTAACCAATAAAGTTCTCCTTTGTATCTAGTGTGGGAGACTTATTGGGAGTGGGTCTAGATTATGCCTTGGGGTCCCCTTGGTTCGGCTGACTAAGGGAGACCACTACTTGTGCTTCTGACTGAGGGAAGCATCCCAAGTTCTTGAAGTGAATCAAGTACCCTCGAGGGCTACTAGGCCTGTGTTTCCCAGGGTGCGCAGAGCCAGAATCAAGCCCAGCCCTGGGTGACGGCAGAGGAACCCCCAGGCTAGTGGGTGTGCTCCAGGAAGGGGGTCAGCCAGACGTGAGGCGCCCCCAGGGAGGCACTCGGAGCCTGGAAGGTGGCTGGGTGCAGTGAGGTGGGTGGCTCAATGCAGGAGCGCCTCCTACTGGTCCACCACAGGCACAACCTTATTTACAGTACTTCTGAACACAGCAGGTGGCCTGATGAACACTACTCTGTAGGTAAAGTTTGCATGTATATGCACACCATATCATTTATCAAAACACAAGACTAAACTTACTGTAAGTAAGTAATCAAACCAAAAGAAAACTTTAACACTACAAGAAACTTACTGCTGATAAGGCCAAGATTTGTTGTTGAATGGTTTCTTCTTCATTGCTATCTACCCAAGGGGGTACTGCTGCTTCTGTTGTTAAGAGGAGAAATATAATTCAAGCTTAATTATACTTCAATATGCAAATGTTAAATTAACTAAGAGTAATATACAATGCCACAAGATAGAAAACTGTTTTAGAACTGGGTTTACATGGGTAGATTACTTCCATTTCTTTTTTAATTAAATTAATCTCAATATATAGGAGATGATGTCCAGAAATGGGTCTTTGTCTCATACACACGTGCACACAAAAGAATATGCATTCTCTTTTTTTTTGTTGCTGTCATTTTTCAATCAGATTTTGTTTTAGTTCTAAAATGTTCTAACCAGGTCTGCCGCAATTCATTCACGGAAGCGCTGTGTTGTACAACTGGCTGAACTATTTGGAAAAAACTGCAAGTGGTTTAAACTGGCTTGGGTTTCATATTTTGGAATACTTTACTAGAGACTCCATTTCAAATGCTCAAAATTTCACCAATTTTTTGCTACGGGGAAAGAAAAATGTTAAATTAATGAAAACAAGAAGGGGATGCTATTTAAGTGCTTATAGATATATTACAATTTTTTATAACAATTGATTCTGTAGTCCAAGAATAAGTGAAGAAGGTATGCTCTACTACTCATACCCAAAGCAGAGACTACATCTCTTCATTGTGAATAGAACTATATATTAATAGTTGAAAAGTATATGATACATTTTACCACGATTCATTTATAAACATCTACATATTCTAGGTTAAAATAGAATCAATAATTATGTCAAACTTGAACAAACTTTTCTATTCAAGTAATGCTTTAAAAAGTTAGAGAATAACAACCTAAATATAAAGAAGAAACAACTGTTGCTTCTCTTAGTCACAAGCAGACCCACTGATGTCAATGCACATGGCTGGGAAACCCAAGCAGGACTGCATTCATGTTACTTATGAAATAATGACCTGTAATTAATTATTCCTTGCATCACAAGTTTAGCACCTCCCTTGAGGAGTTAAGGAAATGCTATCAGGGTACCGTCAACCTGTTTTTTGTTCCATTTATTAACATGTTATTCCAGTGGTACAGCTCGGGTAACTGTCATCTAGTGTTTCTGTCTCCACTTTATAGAATTACTCACAGGAAATCAGCCCTACAACTATATGAATTTTAGAGTAATATATTTCTGATGAACTTAATAGAAAATGCATGCCAGGTTAGCTGTGAAGTGTTAACTTGTTTCAGCTTATGTCAACAACAATCAATTAATCTCACCCCAAGAGTCACTTAATTCAATCTTGTCATACCAGTATGGTGAATTAAACATTATTTCCATATGCCATTTTTTCTGTTCAATGCATTAGGCTTAGACTGAGGTCAATTATGCACCTCTTAGCTAAATGTGATCAAATTCAGACATAAGTTACTTTTGCTTAGACAAATGGCCCTACACATTTAATAACAGATATTCAATACCTGACTTTTTTGTGTGTTGTTCTTGGACAAATTTCTCTTGCTCCTTCTGAAAGTCTCCAATAATTGTCTACAAAAAATATATATATATTTTATATATATATAAATAATTATCCTTGACAAAGCAAATGAAAACTATTGCAAGTGTTCTAATGTTCAGTGAAAAACATTTTAAATAACTCTCAAAATGACATTTAATACTTGAAACCTTATTCATTCGCAAGTTCAGCAAGAAGAGGCTGCCCATTAATTTTACATACCTTTAGATCTATCAAACTCAGTTTTGTCTTAAAGAGTTTAAATTTCTATCCATGAAAGTTCATAAATGAGATTCAAGCGTGATTCATGCTCTGTAGTACATACTTGACAATAAAAGACATAAGGTTCAGTCCACTTGGTTTGCTGATGACAAGATCAAGACATAAATTTCTCACAGATCAGAAGTGCAAACTTTGACAGAGGATATCCCATGTTAGAAGTATTAAAAATACAAAGACAAATAGGTGAAGTCTGAAAAATCTGAGCTGTTAATATGATGTGGTTTATCAGTGAGGTTTTTAGACAGAGAACAGATTACCAAAGAATGTGAAGTAAATTCTCCATTAATTAGCATCTTAATTTGAGGTCAAACACCTGTTAAGAATATGCATTCTACATCAACTGCCAATACTTAGGCTTGATACTTAGCCCTGGTAAAAAGAAATTCTACGGCCAGTTATTCAGGTAGATCCTAGAAGTCCCTTCTAGCCTTAAATTTATTAAACTAAATATAAAAAAGTCGTATGTCAAAAGGGAGAATTTTGGATGCTGCGGAATTCCTTTTAGCTGTCCTATGAAACAAAGTCAGATGCTTCTTCAGAAGCAAAGCCTATGTAGAAGAGGCACTAGACATGAATACAAGACTTTTCCTGCAAACCAAAAGCGTTATTTGTGCCTAAACACACAATGCGTGAATAGCTTCAGGTCATACAAAGGATCTCCTACTTTCTCTCATCTCCCTGCTTTTGCATTTGAAACCATTTCTTACTGCTTTCTGTCCACATGGTAAATCAAAACATTTTCCACACGGCACTTCCACACACAGTGCCTAAAACTGTCATTTTAAGAAAGTTCTACAACTGGGTTTATGCACAATTAAATGCCTCAAATATTTTTCATGGCCTAGCCTATATCTAGCTTAGCTGTTCTAGTCAGCAACTGAAACTTCTTCATTCCAGATAAGTGATTCTGACTCTGGCATCCTTATATAACAGGGGTGTCCAACCTTTTTGAATGTGGGGCTGGATCACAAACTTTTTATCACCTAGTGGGCCGGTGAGCCATATTCAAAGACCTCGCAGGAAGTGCTATCATATCAGGAAGTGATGTCACGTGACCTTTGACACCAATGAAGTTGCAGGAAGTGACAATGAAATGGGTCTACATAACCAGTTCAAAACTCCCCCTCTATAGCATCCACCTCTGCCACTGTTTGGGACAGGACACTGAGGTAGATGGACCATGGGGCTGACCAAGCATGGCACTTTTTATACTCTTATGTTCAGAAGCTCTTATGTTCTTTGGCTGAGCTTCCAAACTATGGCTGAGATTTGCAAAAAGGAGTAGATAGGCATGTTACAAAGTTGTCATAAACGATTTGGAGCCCTCTAAATCCCATTCATTTTTAATGGAAGTTGGCCTTTTGATTCAGCTTTGAAAATCTCAGCCCAAGGTGCCAACCAAATAAGTCAAAATATATTTTACATTTCTATGTAGTGCATCTATGTGGGGCTCTCCAAGCATTTTACAAACATGAAATGAACCTCAGGATGAGCCCAGCTGGAGGAGCAGGGGCTCAGCTGCCCTTTCCCCCTACCTGCGCTGGTCAGTCCCGAGCAGCACACAGCTCCGCCGCGGCTTCTGCTGGCTGGCGCTGACCCAGGCGGCTCTGTCCCATCCGGAGCAGCACGTAGCTGGCTTCCCACGTGCTACTGGGGATGGGAGGAGCCCGGCCGGGTTGGCACCGGCCAGCAGAAGGAATCCGGCTTCCGCT